ACAAAAGCTCAGGTCGCGCAAGATCTCATGGCGAGTGGACGTGTAGGCAAGGGCAAGCCTACACCTGCTGAAGTTCAACAATCCCTTGTCGCTAGCAAAGCTCGTACTCAGCCGGCGGAAGCGAGTGTTTCAGGATCAACAGCTCAAACGTCTGTAACTGCGAAGACACCTCGCCGAGGAACTCAATCTCAACCAATTAAGCCTTCAGCAGCACCTAGCGTAACACCCGGACGTAAAGCAACAGCCAGTAGCCCTAATTTCGAATTACCTGACTATGAAGAGATTGTGACAAACCTGAGTCGTCCTCAATTCCGGAACGCTATTTTTGGTGGAGGTGTCAAAACGAAAGTGACTGGACAGGGAACCAAGGTCATCCTGAACAACCTAGCAATTCAACTGAACAACAACTACAATCAGCGCAACACAACCACTAAGATGCGACTCACTGGACGCCAACTTCAGCTGCGATTACAACAATACAAAGGAAAATACATGGCAACCAAGCGTAAAAGCCTAAGTACCGGTTTTGGAGTTACCGATACAGAACAGAAACGAGGGCTTTCAATTGAAGGTAAACTTGAGGAGATGTGTCCGCTTTATTCCAAGATGGATGCGATTTTCAAAGATAAGGGGAATGTGAATGCCTTTGGGATCATGGATAGTGGCGTGAATGACGGTGAAGAAGAAGAAGAAGAAGCAGAAGAAGAAGAAGAAGAAGAAATAGAAGAAGAAGAAGAAGAAGAAATAGAAGATGAAGAAGTTCAAGATGAAGATGAAGATGTTCAAGATGAAGACTTAGATGTTCAAGATGAAGACTTAGATGTCAAGCCTCAAGTTGCGTTATTTGGTGCGAAGGAAATTGTGATATCAGACTCTGAAGAAGATGAAGAGCTTTTGAAAATCAAGCGCCGCATCGAAGGAAACACTATCAATGACAACCTGCCCGACTTGCCTCTTATGCCTCCTCCACCTCCGCTTTCATACAACCAATCAACTGCGAAACCTCAAAAACCTCAATCTAATCAATTCACTCAAAATCCAAAGTCTTCTCAAAAGTCTTCTCAAAAGACTCCAAACACAAAAGAGAAAGTTATCAGCAAGCAATCGGAAGCTTCAACCTCAACCTCGACCTCAACCAGCGCGACCCGTCCTAAACGAAAACGTGCTACACCAGCAGTCCGCAGAAAGCGAGCTCATTCTGCCCAACTCACCCACGCCGAACTCGCTTTGGACGACTCTGATCTTGAAAACAAAGGAGGCCTAGTTGAAGAGGGCAGCAGCATGGCGGTCCTTCCACATCGAGGAACCTTAGCTGGCCGCCAATTGGATCCCCTTCCATCCATTGATCCTTCAACCGTGCGCACCAGAGAGCACAAGCATCCAGTTGCAGCTGCTCTTCAAAATGGAAACGATGTCAAGATGTCCATACTGAAGGACAACAGCGATTGGCGACACTTATTTGAAGAGAGGAAACTGGCAGAAGAACTTCGTTTGAGCAATGAGAAGAAGAGTGTTGAAGCATCAAAGTTAGAGTGGGCAAGAGAGCAATATTATCATGAACACAAAGAATCTCAAGAGAAGGCTGTTGCTGAAAAGAAGTTGGAAGAGGCACGCGAGAGAAGTCAGGTGGCTAAAGATTTGGCTTTAGGTGGCAAGTCTCCTGAAGAGGTGCGAGATTATCTCAATGTAATCTTTCCAAAAGATCAATGATATCAAAGGTATGTGATCATTTAGATATGATTATCAATTTGCTCTTGCTGACTCTGATTCTTCTGCAAATGAAGTTGTTCTTCATTTTTGTTATTTGTTTTTCCTTTTCAAATCAATATCCCTTTCAAATCAGTCCATAAAATTAACAAAAGCTCGAAACTTCATTATATGACACGGATAAGGACTGGCTCTCTTATCTTTGTTTTTCTTATTCTCACGGATGGAATCAAACGAAATGTGCATTCTGATTATCGAAGTATTGTTTCTATCCTTTTCATTTGTTTTTTTTTGTTGTGAACTTTTCGGTTGAGTTAAATAAATGAATACAGGAAAAGATCAAAAGATCTTCTGTTGTAGAATAGAGTGAATTTTTTTGTTTGTCCAGTTAAATAAATAGATACATGAAAAGATCAAGATATGTGCTGTTGTAGAGTGAAAGTTTTTGATGTCTGATTGCAATTTAATTAGGTATCTTGTATTTTGTTCAAAACTAAATCAAACATAACATTCAAAAACTAAACTAAAACAAAGAACGAGACACAAATTAAAAGAAAGAAGACAAAAGAATAAGACATGATAGTGAGCCAAGCAAGAGAACCAAAGTGTTGACCCTTACGAATCAACAATCGGAAGACCACCACTTGCCCAGTTGTAAGAAACGGCATGATCCCGTACCTTCTCCCTCATAATCTTTCCACGCTCAACGGCACATATGTTGCAATTCTCTTCCACCAAGAGATTAGAAACCGCTGGTGCACCTAGATCAGCCAGCATGACTTCCATCGCAATATCACTCCAAGCATTGCCAAAATCTGCCAACATGTTATTCAGGATAACGCAACATCTGATCCATTTCAAGATATGTTCCATATCTTCCTTTTTATTCAGAGCCAACCGTAGACACTGAAGTGAAGCCCAGCGAAGCTTACACACGCCAATTGAATGTTCGTTACGGATTTGTGCTTTAGCGATACACCAATTGAAACCGCGATTTCTATCCACCTCTGCTGCCTGTCCTTTGTACAATGGCACGACAGTCTCCGTTGGGGTATATGCCGAGTCCGCAATGAGGTATTCACCTGGAACATACAAGAGAATTGGGTTAGAAAGCATTCCTTTCAAGATCGGTGGTCCAAAACTCACCTTTTTCGAAATACTTATCTGGATTGACCGCGATATCTGACTTGTTGAACACGGTGCTATCGCAGCACGAACCTGGCCAGCCAGCGTACACATAAGTTATTCTGCGATCACAATCACAGATGACTTGAAAGTTGAGAGAGTAGTTATGTTTACGATCAAAAAAGACCTCGCCGTCCTTTCCGGGCCTTTGAAATAAAGGAACAGTTGTTCCATCCACAAACCCCACACACGCCGGAAACCCGTCTTGAGCAAGTACGTGGGAAATACCTTGACGTCGTTCAGCATTGGGCCATTTAAGGTACATCTTTCCTCTATCTAAAATCGCCTCAATCACTCGACGTGTACAGTTGATTACTGTTCCACGTCCGACCTTGTAGTTACGGGCAAACCTCCCAACCGAGGCGCCATTCCCATTACTTCCCAAACGCTCTAATGTAATAGCTAATTGATGTTCTACAGGCGGTGGTGGATTGCGACTTGTTGAAAAAAACACCGGGTGGTTTTCGATCATAGCCAGAAGTGCAGCGAAGCCTTCAGGAGAAGTGCGCATGGCTTGTCGAAAGTCGGTACGTCTATCACGTAGCATGTCCTTCAAGTTGAAAGGACTAGCTAACGGTGCTTTGAAGCGTGGCTCTAGATATCGCGTAGTCGAAATCAATGTAAGGTACTGAGACCAGTCGTCTTCTTCATCGAAAAGTAGGTCGTACAGATACGCATCTTCCGGATCATCAGGGAAGAACAAAGTGCCGTCGGTGGGAAAATCACTGTCACTGTCTTCACCATCAAAACCAGGTAATGAAATCGACATGTCCGCATGCGCAAAGACGCACATGTTGGTGAGGTCTCGAAGAATCTCGGCGCGCTGGGATATTCGAGGCATTTGAGGTGTTTTAGGTGATGATTTTTGGGATCTCTCGAAGATGGAGAGACGAGACGAGGCAGAGCAGAGGCAACTTGAGTTTGGGCCTGATCATCTCTCTTGCCAACTGGAGAGGATAGATCATCTTAGAAAAAAAGGAAGGCCGTTGGGCCTCTCTGTACCTTCTTGGAAAAGACGTTGGTACTTATAATTACGACATTTTAAGGATCTCGAGCAGCCCTTTTAAGGCACGAGCATGCGTAAATAACATGATCTCTCGGAAAAATTCTCATGCTCGCGGGCTCAAACTTGAACTGCCCTAATAGCTAGACTGCCTCGTGGGATCACATTGTGTAATTGATTTCAGGTAAGAGGAACAAAGATTGATGCAAGCAGGATAAAAGTATGATAGATTTCATACAGTCTAGTGCCAAGATAACTTATTTGCTTTTGGAAGATCATAATATATCATGAAGGGACTACATACTGTCAAATTCACAACCAAATAAAAGTGAATGTATTGTTCCATTCTTGCTGGAATTGTTCAATTGCATTTATGTTTTACAATCCTTTGTAGGATTATTGTTTGTTCCCAGATGCCTACCGCATCCTGAAACTACCTCCACCTGATGTGCTCACTTTGAGTTGCTGAGCACAACTAGTACGGGGGGGGCGCCGCCGCCGGGCCTCTTGGTTTGCGTGGCTGAGAAAATCCTTCTCGCTTCGCAAACCTTGATGCCCCTGGCTTTGCCGGGTGGGTGGGAGGTCATTTCAGAACAAAGTATGACTTAAGAGATTGTGACTAAACAATTACGCGAGATTGAGATGTGTAAGACTCGGCTGCTTAAGCTCGTGGGAGACTGGTGTGGTAGAAAACAATTTTCCAACTTCCGCTTGCGCTCCACAACCAGTTGCCCCCACTATAAGCATAAATTCTTACACAATTCCTTTCATGGAATTACACACCAAGTCGTTCCTTGGTCGGTGTTCTCAAAGAAAACATTGACATGAGATCATAAGACAATGATTTGGAGTTTTGATCAGATTTACAAGGTTTTGAGTTACACATCATATATGTTGGTAAGATGAATCAATCCCTTCTTTGGAGTCATATCTTCCCCTGCAGTGTTAATTGAGTTACATCTTTGTTGGATTGGATTTGGATTCTGAATTTGAATTCTCTTGTGTTTTCTTTCCCAAATGTGATTTGATGTACGCAAAAAGAATGGATTGGATTGTGGCATGCTCTTGATCAGTAGCATGGTCATAGTGAGAGTATTCACATCAGTCATTTTCTCCAGTGATTATTCTTTGACTTTGAAGGGTTTTTTAATACAGATTTCCATTCCTCGAAAGTTTCAAAATAGTCTGACTCATTGACTTCAGATGTATCTTCAGGCTGATCAAGAAGTTTCTCAGACAATGTCCTGAAATATGTCTTTTTAGAGTCATCTTCTCCTGAGTGATCAACGTCTTTTGGATAATGGATTAAAGGTGAATTAAATCCTGGTGGTCCATCGTCATTGTCATCATCATCATCAATTTCATTCCAATAGTTTGATTGAGATTTCATTTTATGACCTGAACTACTACTTTCTTCATTTCTTTTTGCATCTCTTCGAGCCTTCCAATCTGTAAAACTGATAAATTCTTCTTCTTCTTTGGTTTTCTTCTTGTTGATCTTGGAAGTAGATTTAGATATAGTATCTAACTTTGTAATGTCTGATTTGGAAGAGAATGGCTTTGAAGAAGAACTAACAATGAAAAGACAAGCTACGATAGACAAGCAAATGAACTTGATCATCTTGGATGATTTGAGAGACATGTTGTCAGCAGATGATAGACAGACGCAGACAAGTGGATTGTCAATTATATGATAAATAAAATCTTCCATACATGTTTGAAAGACTTTTTAATTAAGACATTATATAAAACAGGTACAAAGATTGAAACCAAGTCACACAAAGCTGCGAAGCTTTATTTAGAGAACAATATAACTGATTTTATTTTTGGTCAAACTCAAGAGCGGAAGGGCTGGAAAAAGATTTCGGGAGAATTCAATAAAAAGTGTGATAAATTTTTACAACGCTTTGTCACAACGTTATAGGTAAAAAATAGTATTTTGCTGTAAAAGAGCATACAAAAATTCAGAGAAATATATGAGAAACTTAGGTGGAAGGGGAAACATGAGAAAATGGAATAGTAAAACCAGCTCGTAAACAAAACCAAAACGAAGATGGAAAAAGTCAATTTTTCTAGGTCTTTTTAGAATGGATTCCTTGCCATAGTGAAATCTTGGATAAGGAAGATATGACCATCAAAGTGCTTAAGGGATTTGATGGAATGAAGAGATCCTATCAAATTACTAAATCTCAGAGTTATCATGGTCTTGCAATCAGAAATCTGGGATTGACATGCTTAGGCTACCAATGGGCATACCGTCCAAGGTCTTGTCGGATGGTCACAAGGCAAATATTGAAGCTTCTCAATCAAATCAAAAAGAAGAAGTAAAAGATGAGACTTGCGCCAAAAATTTCAGCTATGATTTCTTGACAAGTCCTCTGGAGAAGATAAAGAATGATTTTCCATGGTGATACAAACCCCAACCGGGGTGTCAGACATACGGAACACCCTCGTGAAGGGTTTAGTTAAACTTATGTCAGAGACGACAGTTATGGATATATCAGGGAACAATGGAGGTCATTCACTTTGATAATCAGTGTGGGACACACAAGACTTCAAATATAGCAGACAAAGATTTCTGATAAAAGAGATCGCGTCCAAAGCAAAGCAGTCAAAGCAATTCTTTCCTCAAAAGTAGTACTTATCATACTTTTTCATTTTGTTCAAGTAATGGATCAGAATGGTGATTAGAATGGCCTTATAAAAGAGCTGGTTTGTCCCTCTCAAGTGTAGGACTTGCATGTGGAGTGGACTATCAGGTCTGATTGTAAAAACTACCTTTAAACTCTCTGGATCATATGGGTTGGAACTAGCTTTGAACACTATCACAAATTTAATATTTTCTGGACAGAAAAGCAAATTCACAATACACATAAGTGTTAAAGGTCATTAAGCACACAAAAAATACCAAAAAATATGCATCTTATACCCATACTTTTGACCTTCAATTCTAGTATTTTTGCTCATTTTTTAACCCCAAAGCTTTATAACAAACTACCTGTAACATATTCTAAAATATGCCCCATGACTGTAATGGCAGAATTCTAGATGCCATGAATGCCAATGACTGTTTCAGATTTTCTCCAAATAGGTTGAATTTTAAAGCATCAATAAGCTTGCCTTTTCCTTGATGTATTTTGTTAAGGAATCAAAGGGTTAGCTGTTCAAACAAGCAACATATTGATGTCAAAAGATGTTTGGATGTGCGTACATGTCACATCTTGTATGGCCTAGCGACAGAGTTGAACATCAAATAAAATTTGTAAAGGAAAAGGCTAGCTTTCTAATGAGCTCATAATCAAGATATTTGAAGCAGACTTCAGGAAACTATGGGCATTGGTAAAATTGAAAAATATATCTCAAAAGTCATGAGGAAAATTTCAGAATATGTTACAGGTCCTCTTCTGAGGACTTGAAAGATTTTGGATTGAAGGCTTAAACTCTGGATATAAAATCCATATTTTTTGGGCATTTTTTGGCTTGCTTAATGGCTTTTCAATATTTTTCTGCTTTATTCATTTCCTTTTCTGTCCAGAAGATATTAAGTTTCTGGTAGTGGAATATAGTCTGACAATCAACATATAAACTATGATATACAAGCTGGGAATCTGGCCTGACAATCTGGGCCATCTTAGATAATGTAAGATGTGTACTTTCAGGTTATGGGAAATAAACAAGTGGATGTTTTATGTGTGAGATTCTTCATAGATTTCTGGGGTATCTATCAAGGGGGTTCAAGTTTAATTATTTTTACATATGTTTTTAAAATTTGGACCAGTTGTCCAAAAACATTTTTGTAAAACCAATGTATTTCTAATTTGGGACACTTAGTAAGGTGTTCTGATTTAAAACAATTACACAGATTTAGGTTGCTCAAAGTGAGTATGTATGTGTACATAATTTTTGGTAGATAGTTTTTTTTGGCTTTTTTCAACACTATGCGCCACCAGGAAGAGTATATTGTTTGCTCCACAGAAGCTTCTTGCCTTTGGCCATACAGAGCATAATCAAAATAAACCTTCTTCTCTGTATTTGTTCTGATTATTTAAATTTTTTCTTTGTTCTTTCTTTTTTTTTCAACTTCTCAATAGTTTTCTATTTTGACTTCATTTCTTGGGTCCTACGTTTATTTAGTCGTAGCAATATGATAGAACCGGGGATCTTATAGGATGGAAGAGAAGGGTGAGGATGGTTTAGTATCATAGTTGGATTGCCACATGAGGAATCCAACCTCCAAACTTCTAGACAAGTATAAAGCAAGCTTAAGCACTTATGTGTATGCAAGTCTCATGATGTCTAGGCCGTAACAATAATCTAACTGAGAGGTGTATCTTGATGTTGTGCCTATCAATCAAAAATTTGACATCAACCTGTGAGTCCAACCTTGCTATACCCATGCTTCTGGCCATGAATTTTGTCTCTGGGTTCATCAATGACAAGATGATCCTCGCTCCACTTGAGAGTTGTATTTGGATGCTGAGTGGTTGATGTGGGCAGAGAACACAAAGGCGATGAAATCCTGGGTGGCTTGTTGGTTCAGGAGCCACAGTTGATTGAAAAAACAGCTTGAATCTTTCTTAGGTAAAACTGTCACACCACCCCCATCAACTTATCTGTGAAGTACAGCAGGATGTTTTAACACTCCCTCATGTAAAACAGTGTAATACCTCATCAAGACATGACTGGGATACATTCTAAGAGCATCCCCACTGAGGCTGAAACCAGAAAGTGGGTACAGGTGTGTAAAAATGACAGTTGTGCTACAGCTTGGCCTGGCTGGGCATCACAGATGACAGGTACTTAGCCTAGGCTCCCTTGTTTTTGGTTTAGACTGGTTGAAAGGTATAGGAATGCTATGATTGTAACCAGGGTATCCATTTCCTATCTTGTCATAGTCAAAACACCTTGTTAAACATGGTTCATATATAAGATCTTGTGTTCTCTATCAACTTGGGTTTCTTTCCTATTGTTGCATTTCTTATTGTTTTTGGTAGATCATTACCAACACTAGTTATTGTCCACAATTACCCTCTACAAGTTAGTCACCATATTTCTGCTTCAGCCAGCATTCTCAGCACCACACAAACTGAATCATGAGTTTGGGATTCTACCCATGTCTAAGCTTGACCAATTTATTGTATTGTGTTGGAACACAATCATATCAAGTGATGAGATTGCATCAATAGGGTGGTAATATATTATCTTTGATTCAAGATGGCACACAATGCAAACAAAGAGGGTATCATTTGTTTCTCCAGGTGTTCATAGCATGAGACACCACAGTTTCCAGAGTTTCCAGGTCAACTGGACACAATTATGACAAACTCTGAAAAATACAGTTGTTGGGAAAGCAAACTCACACCAGTGGCTGACTGTCTGATCTTTTGCTTGTGTAGGAGGGTTTTTTTGGAAAATCTTTGAAAAAATAAAGATGATTCTATGTTTGTATCAGAAACATTAGGTAAATGTTATGTAAATGTTCCATTTCTGGAGGTAAATTGGGAATGTTCTAAACCACGGATTACTGGTTGTGCAGTCCCTATGTGGGCAAAGTTGTTCATCAAACAACACCAGGTAAGTTGTGCTGCATGAAGTGCTTGCACAACATTGTGTTGCGCTGCTGTGTAGCACAACTCTCTCCTTGAAATCAGAGCTGAGCTTCCAAGATCTTGAAAGTGGGTTGACTTTCAATCAGTCTTGAAACAGCTCATGTAACACCCAGGACCATTGATGAAGTGGTGAAGTGGGGCTAATCTGCCCAAACAAGCAGAACTACCCTATCACCACATTTGACAGTCATACACATGCTAGACCCTCTCTTATCCAGACACACCATTCAATCTGGAACCAACTTCTCCTTTGACCAGAGACCACACTACTTGATCTGGGACTTATCTTGACATATGTGGTTAGTACAGCCTGAGGTCAGGGGATCAATAATGAGTCTGTGGCATGTAAACAACAGAATTGACAGTTTCAAAGGTAATGTACCTCTTTGACCAAATTCTTTCAATTGCCTTTTTACTTCATTTCTTAGGGTCCGTTCGGCTGCGCCATCTCATCTGACATCCAACTGGACCTTCTGCCCAGTCGGGGTCGGGCAAAGAGATTGTCATCCTGATTTTTGGTGACAGATGACGGTCAGATGGTCACCAGATGTGCAGCCGAACGGACCCTTATCCTTCTCCTTTCCACTTATCATCATATCTATGTGGAACTTGTACAACACTAGAGAAAAAAATCTACCCCCTCAGCCCCACTGACACCACTTATCCCATGTTTGCCAAGATGAAAGAGAAAACATTCAAATACCTTGAGAAAGTACTTTGATGCAAGACCCTGGCCATGGCTACCACTCTCCATCTTCTCTTCCAACTCAAGTTTTTCCACAAATGGTATGGTTCTGCCTCTGTGGTAAGTATTGGAGCCAAAGCCACTCTGTTTAAAATTTATCGGGAGTAAAAGCTGTCAGCACCTTCAAATAATGTAACACAATTGTCTCAATCCCAAAAAAGCAACAACAGCAACCTCTCCTCCAAAGCCTGACATATTTTGCAGAGACTCTGAAAAAGAACACAAGGTTGAGGAATCCAAATATATTCCACTTGAAAACTACTTACATGGGACTAATAAAAAAGGCTGAAGATTATGATATTCAGGATTCTGAAGCAAGTCTTCAGTGGTGGAAGGTGAGTATCAATCTCAATCCTCTTTATTCTTCTTGAATTAACATTTTGTTTAATGTATCTCTAGTTACATGAAAGGAATTATTGCACACTTGCACACATGGTCAGACACTATTTGGCAACCACTTGATCATTGTGCACTTCCAATCTCAGGGACATACTCTCAGATGCTGCCAACTTATGCTTTAGTTGTCAAGGTAGTTTGATTGCACAGACTGTTTAATGCCTGATTTCAAGTAAGATATGGTTAGGAGAAGATCTTGGTCCAGATTTTGAAGCTCTTGTGAAGTCCTTTGAATCAATGGGTATATTGTGAGGAGTCAGCAACTGTTGGGCTGACTCTTCACTAAAAAAGGTGAAGAGTAGACAAAGATGAAGTCTTCACTTGGTACACCCAAGTGAAGACTACAGTTAGTTGACCTCCGAGGAGAGGATTTATAGCCAGTGGGATGGCTGAGTAATCCCTCTAAGGATCTTACTCGGAGCTCTGGTTGTCTTACAACTCTGGAGCCTACAGTACTTTAGACTCTGAGGATTCAGAGGTGCCGCTGGGTACTTTAGACTCGTTTGAACAGGAACCCTTTGTAAATTCCAAACTTGTTCTGTTAGCTATTAATCCCACCAACTCAGAACACCACTTGAGGTTTTACAATAACCTGAACAAAGACAGAAAAGAAGTATGACGGTCAAAGTACAACAATATCACTTTACTCAATATTCTTGGTGAAGAATCAAGTAAGTTGTGATGATGAGTTGTGTAATGATGTGAAGTTGGTTCTTCTTCCAGAGTGGGAAGAAGAGGGGTTTATATATCCTAGACCTAGGTGTCAACTTGTGGTCGGCACTTAGGTTTGCTTTTTCTTTGGGTTAGGTTTGGGTTAGGTTTACTATTACTAATTCAAGTCATAGTAAGTCTTGTTACTTGAGTGACTCTTGATACTGAGCCATGAGATGTAATCTTTATGGGTTTAAACAAGTTACATATATTTACATATGTAATACATATATTTACATGTGTGTTTGTTAGCCCGTGGTCCTGTACACAGGGCTCAGGGCTGACATATATGAATAAATGAAGTTCATGATTTGTTTTTCTTTATATTTTTCCATCACCCTCATTTATTATCATTTGTTCACTGTTCTTTTCTATCTTTTTATTAACCTTAACACTTTTTTACTGTTTATTTACATGTTCCATTCAAGCTACATCTATGGCTGGTGAGCAGAAGCTAAAGCGTTTCACATAGCCTTGTGCATATTCCAAAGTTGCTCAACGGCTAATGTAAGCATCATTGCTGTTTGGGGGCTTGACTTTCAAACTTTCATTTTTTCATTTCTTTGAAAATGCTCTGTAGAAAAATGAACACAATGTGAGAAATTGAGAAAGAGCTGCACAGCGCTCATGGGACAAGTAATGTGGCAAAGTGTAGCTTACCCGGTGTTGCATCAATGCTTAGATACAGAAGGAACACAATCAGATGACAAAAGGGATATATATATCTAGACCCAAAGATGACATATGTATATGCAGCTCAATGGTTTTAAATGTCACTCAATAATTATAATCATCATCACATGGCTCTATCTCACATTATTTATCTCATCTTCTGCATCCCTTACATCCCAAAATGTAGTTGAACCTTGCCGCTATGGCCATTCCAAATTCCTCACTTTTATAACCACAATCTGGTGAGAAGGAAATATCATGAATCAGATATAAGCTATATGATGTGCTACATTGCTCCATTTGTGCTACATTCAGTTACGACCTGTGGCACTGTTACATACCAGCCTGTGAAGTGATAGGGAGGTTTGGTATGATATCATGGTTCCTCAAACCTTCTGTGGTAACTGATCTTTTTGTGGGATTGAAGCTCGTTGCAGATATATGTATCATATCATATATCCAAAAGGGGAGGGGAGGGCTCTTGATCACGGGCGGCTTGTAGTTCCTCAGTCCTTTGATTGCTCTCAGTGTGGGAAATTGTTGTCTGTGTATCACTTTCTGTCACTGGTGTGGTTGCCCATTTTGGCCCCAGTCAGGTGATCATCAGGAGCAAATGATGTCATTTTGCTGGGATCATGGGCCATCCCTAGATCAACAGTGGCAATAACAACGTGGGTGATGGGTACACGCTCCTTCAAAGCTATTCACACTTGATAAAACTTTCAAATGGATATGATCAAACAATAATACAATTCGGATAACAAACTCGGCTGATACTTATATTTCAACTAAGATGTGAACAACCTTGCCTCATCACGTGAGATGTTCTGTGAAAGAATATGATCGCGCGTGTCTTCTGGATTGGCCTCGCTGGAACATCGATGCAAAGATCATCCAAATGGGCCACTGACTGAGAAGCCCAATTTGCTCGTTCTCGAGCGTGTTCCCCAATAGGGAGCTTGCAATGGGTCGGCTAGTTTTAGGGTCGAGGTCTTTTGAAACCTCTGGAAATTGGAATCCGAGTCGATGCATGAGTCCTGTTTGTCACTCGATAGGGAGTTATTGCCTGACGGTATGCCACTGAGTCAGGTGGCATATCTCCCGTCGTACTTCCATCGATCTAAAGAATTGAACGTTGGTCAGGAGTACACAAAGATACGAAACGGACTTGGCTTACGATGGCTCTGGCCCAAATTTGAGATGCCTCAAGCGAGAGTCGATAATGAAAAGTTGTATCCCATGGTGCCGTCAATATAAGAGAATTGCCCATGCCGAGCGCCATGCCAATCTCCTCATTACGTTGAAACAAGTCATAAGCAGTTTCATACCGTTTTATTTCGGCCTGCTTGACATCCAAAACAGAAATCCTCAGTTGGTAAATGCAGAGGAAAAGAGAAAGCACAGGAGACAAACTTACCTTCACCCTCTCATACTCGGCGAGCAGAGCAGCCCTCTACCCCATAAAAAAAGATGTTTGATGAATCAATTTCCAACATCAGTAAATATGAAAAAGGCTTACCGCTTCAGCCTGTTTTTTCTTTTCTGCTGCATTAGGGCTGCGTATAAGCACATCTCCAAGTTTGCAGTGCGATCGATTGACACGATCGACAAATTGAACAAAGGCTGAGAAAGAGTCAAGGGTAAGTTTCGTAGTACCCACTTGACCCTGCCAAATCAAGTCCTGTGCGATATTACTGGTCAAGACAACGTGCTTCATTCCCTCATAAATTTTATCACATGCTTCTCCACATAAGAGCTTAAACTCATTCAAGCTCTTGCCATAAAGTGTCACTCTGATGGATTGCTGAGCTTCGGATAGGTCTGCTGAATCAACAATAGTCGTGTTGTCTGAGTCGGGTTCCTCGACCTCACTGGTTTGTCCCTCGCTTTGATCGACTTCCTTCTTAGATTCGATCTTGAAGGCAACTCGAATCAACACCTCGTGCGTTTGGTCGAACTGGGTGCGGGCGGGGAGCACCAGAGGATTGCCGGAGATTGGGAATGGGATGGGATTGGGATTGGGAGCTGTATGAATGAATAGGCATACAGGGGTTGGTCAACGCCCAATTGGTCTTAACTTTTATTTTGAAACATCCAACAAAGCGCCACACCGTTGGCTTATAGACGTTCAAGACCCCTTTTGAGATATGCAGCTTGATCTTTCATCTTCAGTCACTCGCGTATGTTTGTAGACAAAGTTACCTCCTTTCCAATAATCACCGAGCATTGAGAGGTTGTGCAGTTCCAGTTGTTCCAGAGCAGTAACATCATCGATTCATAACCGCTCCGAACCGACATATCGATTGAAATTATGAGGCGAACAAGAAAAACGATTTGTTTTTTTGACAAAACACCAATGATTCAATCAGATATCATAAGCTGAAGTATCATATTCTCCGTGATAGAGAAGAATCAATGAAAACTCGAATCAAACAAATGAACAAATAACCGAGTAAGTCATTGTTAAAAGCCAAAGAGTAATGATATAGTACAATCAAAAACATACAAGTCCAAACTGGTACAGAGTGTCAAAGGCACACATAGATCGATACCAACAAAGATAACAAAATGATAATCAGGAGGATCAAAAATATCACAAGATCGCGAGAACAACATCAGTCGAGAGCGTACGCTAGAACAAACAGCACCGTCAGACCAATTTGGCCTGTCCAAATTTCAGAGCGCTTTAAGTGAGAGAAACACGATAAAGAAAGTAAAAGAAGACATTTGATTGACTCTCTTCCGATCATTATCAAAGTTGGTCTTGCACTCAGACCGCTCTGATGATGGCGCTTGATCGATGCTTTAACATGTGACAGCAGGTGACAGCGATCGAGGCTTTTTCACCCGGATCTCCCGTAGGTCCTTTCATATGCAACCCTTCCCCACTCCTACTCAACTTAAGTGAGAAAAATCATCCGAAGAGCTTGTAAGACTCTTATTTTGATATGTTCATAGTAGGATGTTTGTATGATCGGTCTGGTCAAGATCATCGAAATGTGATCTAGTCTTATGTCGCGCACTACATAGTTGTACTCAAAATGCATTAAAAACATAGACAGGATGGTTTCTATGTAGGCCAATGGGACGAATGTTTACGAAGAAGATAATTGAGGATAATTGTGTACTGCTCAGTCTAAACCTTTGGACTGAAACAGACTGAAACGTGGCGGTGAGTACAGGCTCATACATCCTATTCCCATTCCCGCGATTCCCAACCTCCGGCAGTCCTCCAATTCTCTGTGCGGGCGGGAGTTCCGGGTGGTTCTAGTATAGCACCTGAGGGTGCAGGGACTGACGTATCGGGTCCATCCTCAACGGCTGGCGCATCCTCAAGTACTGTTTAAGAGCAATGGAGGGTTAGAAAGCGTCCGAAACAAAAGCGTGAATGGAGCCGACTGACCACTGTCCATGCTATCAACGGCATCTATTGGTGCGGTTTCGCCGTCTGCAGCTATGGTGGTGTGAATAGTTGGCGTCGGATCCATGATTGAAAACCGATGAAAAGGTGAGTGAAGTGGCAGGAGGAAAAGATAAATATCAAAGTGAAAGAAGCTCACTATGTAGGTCAATCAATCTCAATCAGTCTCCATCGCGTGAGAGACGGCCGGTTATATGTACTCATGACGGCAGCTTTTGCTTTTGCGGGGATCTGGACTGATCCCAAGCCAGACCTGTTATTTGACAGGACCCTACACCTCTGCCCGTTGCTGGCAGCTGGTGCCCCCAACGAACGTCGGGGGGCCAATGATTTGGGATTTCGATTTGAGTTTGTTTCTGTGTTATGGCTGATCTCTGGTTCGTTTCAAACTGCTCACAAACGCTTGCAACCCAGCACTTCTCAACCTCAGCAGCTTGAAGCTTCGGACTGTGCCACTATTAAAATGCATCAGTCCTCAGCATTGTTCAGTTAACCATTCCACCTCAACATCACTTTTTGAAAGCTCAAACAAACACAATCGACCAACTCCGACTTGTTGTCCATCAATACCTGTGACCTCCTCAATTTACACTGATGGCCATGTGAACACATCAGGTTTCTCTCATAGCTTTCCCGTGGATGGCTGTAACACAACTGATCAGTGTATGCAGGATACCAAGAAAAAAGGGCCACCTGAAGGCAAACAAAAGTTCTTACTGGGTCTGGACTGAGAGTGTTGGTATCACCAAAAAGTTTCTTATCTCATTCACTGCGTCTGCCACTGACCGTCTCAACGTCGAGACAGTCAGAAGGCATGCATATTGTTCTTCAGAAAGTGTGTCAATTGTTCCCTGCCCCAGTTCAGCAGCTTCAATCTGAGCTCAGAGCTTTGATCCGAGCTACCTTAGAGGGCCGCTGCGTTGTTTAGCAATTGGCAAGTTCAGCCAAACCTGAGCACACTTCTAAGATCAACAATAAGTGTAACTAGGCAGTGCACCATTAAAATCATGAGCAAGTGATCTAACAAGCTAGACCACTAAGTAAGAGACTGAATCAAAATTGTGTATAGGAAGACTCTGGTACGCTTTGTGTTTCGGTCTTGTCAATTGACATTGAGAGACAAATCATAAGGGTATATGGGGTTCAAAACCTGTGCTTTATTTGCTGGCATAATCTTGCGCAAATAGCTTGAGGGAGATCTTGGACCGATACAAAAGTTTTACCATGTCACACTGCTCAATAAGGTGTACCAATGAACAGACGGGTGATCCGAAGGCCTCTGCCCAGATACAATACTGGGTATGGCCACCCAGGGACACTGTACAGCTCCACTAGTAATCAAATTAGAGAGACATTCGATTCGAAAACCAGTGTACTTTTTGTTTCAACAGCATATGGTGATATGAAATGTATATCCACTCTGTCAAAAAACAAGATGGCTAAGATGAAATGATTCATTACCTTTGAAATTGTCAAAAAAACATTTTTGTATCGTTTGATGTGGACCCATATCCAATTAACATCCCAGAGTTGTGAATCAAAGTCAGTTTTAGATGCTTAGTACACCGTGTCTGTGTAGGATTTGCTAGTCAACGAGCGCACACCAACTCCCTTTGAGGCAGAAAGGGAAGTCGTGCGCGCTCGTCGAAGAGCGAACGTCCCGGACACGGTGAGTAGGACTGATTTTTTACTCCAAAAGGATTTTATCTCAATGAAATGAATAAGTGTAAATTAAAAGAATAAAAGAGAAGGTTCTCACTGCCCACTGTTCTATCTATTCCAATACTTCTAAACTCTATGAGTGATGTGATGAACTATTCCCTTTCCACATCTTGTGAGTTTTTTTAGGAGGGAATCAGAGATTTCATCTAGACTTTTGTGTTCAAAATTTCCCTCAAATTCATAACATCATCGACTTTCTTATGAATCACACTGAAAAATCGCTCGGAATCTTCATTCTTTAGATTCTTAAGCAATCAAATATTATAAAGGAACTACACCTAATGCCATTTGTGGTGCCTCATACTACTTTTTGAAAAAAAGGTATGCACAAAACACACACAATCTATTTATCCCCCAAAACTGACTGGTTTCACTTATTGAAATCGATCACAGCCTCAGTAGAGCCAGCAAACCAATGAGCCAAATCTTTCAACCAAGAAGGAAACACTTTGATGATTCAGATAAACTTATGAACCTAATGTTCAAATGTCCAGTTTGGCTAGATCATGAGGTACAACTTGTGGGAATAAAAATGGGTTCTGTGGTCTTACTTCTTAATGAGAAGTTCTAGCAAAATTTGATTAGTTTTTTGGATTGGAAGTTGAATAGTTCGATAGGTCTTAAATAATAATAAAACTTACAGGGTCCAAACATTTTGGTTTCCAATCTACCTGGACTTACTTAAGTGGCACGAACCCCTGAACACTGATATTCATTTTTTTTGGTTCATGTTACTATCTTTCTGTTCACTCAATAAAGAAAGATACAGTGGGAATGAGGATATTTAGGAACCTACAATCTAGTTCAAGTGATTCATGTAAACTCAAAACAGCTGCTTTTGAAGTACAGTAATCTGAAGCTTGACAGACGCCAAAAGTGCCTAAAATTGAAGCTACAGTGACCTGAGATGACAAGAACAAGTAGAAACAGATTATCGCGATGAGTTTAGTGATGATATCAAGATTCACAATAGAAATCGTACTGACGATGTATCCGTTCTTTAGTTCAATTAATGTTGGTAAGAAAGCCTTCAAGAGGTGAAAATGAGCCATTATATTCACTCCAAAGCTCCTACAAAGTGGTTAAGAGGTACATCGTGATTGTCAGTTATGATTTCCAATGAGATTGTTTATAAGACAAAGTGGCAAACCGCCGAATTTCACTAGGATTAAGATCGATGATAAATGTTCCATTCGCTACTTCAACGTTATTGATAATGATTGTTGGATCTCCTACTTCGTTTTTGACTCGATCAGCTACAGCTTCTACAGCTTTCGCATCCGATATGTCGCACTCATAGTGATGGACATCTAGAGATAAAGACAACCAAAGTCAATGACAAGCTTGATTTGAATAATAGTGAGTCCATAACCAAAAAAAGCTAACCTGAGTCAGATGGATTTGCAGTAAGAGGTCTAATATCCCAAAAAAACCTCATATTCTTAATAGCCAAAGTTTCAGTAATTACTCTACCTAAACCATCGGAGCCACCAGTAACATGTATGATTTGATGATCCCAATCAATCCTATCGGACCCAATTCTCCAAGTTTCATTTGACCAAGCAATTGAAGAATAATTTAATAACCATCGAAACAAACTTATTATTAGGAGACTGATCAAAGATTTTTTTGATGTTTTTGATCCTTGGATAATCATCATTACTAGTATCTTCTAATTCCATCTCTTGGTCAACCATCTGATGTCGTGCCATCCGCCATGGTCTTTCTTCCCTTTCTTGTCCATCCATTGATGCATTCGATAGACCTGGATCCGAATGAATTGTTTCTGTCCTTGTTCAATCTGATTTTACTTCTGAAAGCACTGATCTTGAGATGATCTTTGATGACTGACCCAGACTCAGAGCTGCAAGACGTTTGGACTTTTCTCTATGCATCACTTCCCGAGACGCTGGGTACCGAGAGCCGGGTAGACAATCAGGAAACGCGAGGAAGACCGTTGTACCGCCTCCCTGTTCATCGGTATTCAAATATATTTTTGAGGACATAGGCAATGTGCAAATTCTGATCAAAAGCGTTTTCAGAAGTGAATGAACAGGTTGAACTCTTGAATTCAAGCATCTCAGCCAAGAGTGAGTCTGGGACTGAGGCCCTAAGGATCAAGCAAGCCTCAGTTTGAGAGCTTCACGATCAAGTATTCCTCAGCAATTGCTAAGGCATTTGTCGAGTGACAAAGTTCTGACAAAGTTCTGATAATTTGTGGCCTTTTGACCGTCTTGACGTCAAGACGGTCTGATTTGGACGCGGTGATTGTTAAGGAATTTTTTTAACTATATTTACCATTATTCATTAGATATGCTCACCAGACCAGTTTGGGCTGCTGCACTGCAAACTTTCCTCTTTCTTCTGGTTTTAATTAGAATTATTGTTTTATTAGAGAAAGTAGGCTCTGGAATCACACCACTGTCCACTTCAAACCAGAGCAAAAGATTCTGTGATATCTTTCCAACAGATATGGCTTAATTGACAAAAACCCCTTTAGGGATGTTGTATATAAAGATGATGCAATTTTTTGCGTCTTTGACTTTTGAGCAGATGCTCATAAGGACCCAACAGCCAGAATCCTTCTCCCCTTCTTACAAAACTTAGAATGCCACACACTTTGAGTTTCTACTGAGTGATTTTTCACTTTTCTGTAGTTCTCTGGCATCAATGACTTGCATATATTCCTGACCAGCAGAAACTCAAATTGATTAGAAACAAACTCCTTGATAGCCATGTTTCATACTGACATAACTCTGACAACACAAAATTTTGCATAATGTTTACATATGATTGACTACACGATGTGAACAAGACTGACTCGTCACAATAGGCATTTTAAGGATAAGAATGATGGTGTGAGGCATTTATGATTGATCAATCTAAGGTTTGCCCGGATGTTGAGCCGGCTCTTGAGATCAGTTATCTTTGGACTCTTTTTCCAAATCGGTCACCAAGTTTTGAGGTCGAGGTCTTTTAAAACGTCGTTCATAGGGTAAAGAACTTGGAGGTATAGACCTGTCAGGCCGTCGACATGCGGCCATATATTCGCGATATTCCACTGAGTCAGGTGGCATGTCCGGCGTAGCAGTTCCATTCATCTAAATAGATGACATTAGTCAAGACTCGGCAGAGAAACAAGAAGCATTTGACTGACAATGGCTATGGCCCAAGTGTTAGACGAAAACAGCGCGAGCTGATAGTAAAAATTTGGATCCCATGGTGCCGTCAATACGTTAGCTTTGGGAAAGCCTCTGACGAGCTTCCAAAAACGGCTTTGTAAGTCTTGGGTGATTTATTCCTCGGCCTAGACGACATATAGAGCAGAGATTCAGTTTTATCTTGAAGAAAAAACGAATCGAAAGGTGAGAACTCACCATCGTCTTCTCAAATTCAAGCATCTGATCGATTTTCTATCATTTGACCATTTGGTAAAAGTATCAGATACATCAATCTCAAACATTAGTAAACATGAAAAAGAAACACCAAAAAGGCTTACCGCGTTGGCTTGTTTTTTCTTTTCTGCTACATTGGGGCTCCGTATGAGCACATCACCAGTCTTACAGTTTGATCGGTAGATACGATTGACAAATTCAACAAAGGCTGAGAAGGAGTCAAGGGTTAACTCTTTTTTGCCCACTCGGCCCTTCCATATCAAGTCTTCGAACTCGTCGGTCGGGTCTAATGGTCTCAGTCTCTCAAGAATATTCAGGCTAACGCCTACACACAGATCCTTGAAGTCGTCGAAGCTCTTGCCATAAAGTGACGCCCTGAAGAATGGATCCTCTCCATCTGATGATAAGTCTTTCGAATTGATAATCTTCTTCTCCTTGGAATTGGAATCCTTGACCCCATCAGTCTTTTCCTCGGTAGCATTGACTTGCTTCTCAAACTCGAGCTTGAAGGAAACCCGAATCAACACCTCATGCAATTTATCAAACTCGGTGCGAGCAGGAGTCCCTATTGGTTCTAGTAAGGCGCCTGAAGGTAGTTGGACTGTCTCCTCAAATTGACCCGGAAGGTGATTCAAGCACTCGATGGCTAGATAGAAACAAACGAAGGTCTATGAGCGTCTAAAAACAGCAAGGTGAATGAGACAGACTGACCGAAGTCAAGGATATCAAAGTCTCCAGCTATGGATGCGTTACTTGATGCTGGCAGATCCATGATTGGGAGTGAAGAAGAAGTGAAGTGAGAGAGGGTTGATTGGACAGAGTGAACTGATCGTTAAGTAGAATTCTAGAAAGTAGAAAAGAAGCTGTTTACCAATTTCAAGAATGACGTCACCCAAACCCATCACCATGGGTGCTCGTAGAATTCATTTCTTGCAAGATTTGTCAGCCAAACTCAACACCTTGACACTGGCTTCCGATGGTGATGTGGCTGATGTTTTCAGCACTATTTGACTGGCGCATCATAAGAAGGAAACAGGAGCCATTGGACCTTGCTCAGCAGGTTTGATATACGAAGAAAGTTGACATTTCAAAGAAATTGTTTTCATTTTTCCTGATGATGTGATTCGACAATGATCGTTTCCTTGATTCAGATCCATTGACCTCTTCGGTTTGCTCCTCGGTACCATGGACTACATTTTTTATCTCGAACTTGAAATAAACTCAAATCAACACCTCATGCCTTTGATCGAACTGGGTGCGACCGGGTGTTCCAGTTCGTTCTACTAAGGCACCTGAAGGTGATGGCACTGGCGCATCGGGTTCATCCCACACGGCTGGAGGATCCTCATACAAGACTATGTGAGAGCACCGGACGGAGGCTTAGGAAGCGTCTGTGTAAGACAAAAATGCGAATGAAACAGACTCATCACTGCCCATACTAGCGACGGGGTCTGTTTAAGTGGTATCTCCGTGAAGTGGATTGTTGGAGTGACTCGACCCGAGTATGGGTTTGTATACAGGAGAATGAATGGCGTGTCACCCTTCCACGCAGTTTATGTCAGTGTTGAGTATGGCAATGTACAGGTATCCAGCACAACGACGTCAATCAGTTCGATCAATCATTCTCAAGATCACCAACTACCACCTCAACCACAACCTCAACCTCTCTCAACTCATTATCATCAATCGAAATCCGATAATTGACTCAAGGCTTCAGTCTCTTTAAAATCATTTTATCATCGAACACATTATTATAGCTCAATTGGTTGTGACATTCAATTGGGAAGGCTCAAGATCTTAACCGCACAGGTGGACAATGCGGTGTCAAGTGCTTTGTGTCTCTGGAACTCTTTTCCTACTATTTACCTTTGGATTCACATATTTGGTCTTTGCTACTGAGCAATTCGAAACTTCGGCCCCTTCGACAGAATCATCGTCTACTACAACACAAAATGACGATTTGTCAACTCCGCCTATAGAGGCTCAGAATTCTGTAGATTCTGTAGATGGTTCTTTACCTTCTCAATCACTAAAACCTCCACCATCAGAAGGTACGAATCTCAAAGATCAACTTTGGTGTTTTTTTTTGAAATCCATACATCTTAACTTATTTATATGATTTGTTTTTCAGGTGTTTTGTTATACAATCGGGCTCAACGTCTACTTAATCATGTTCAGGCTCATTCAACACCTATTCCTCCTCGAATATCTCTTCAACCCTCAGCTTCATTCCTTTCTCCTTCATCTTACGCCCCTCTACTGGACCGGGCCTCATGGCTCAACCGTGGTATATTCTCTTACCTTATCAAGCTCGTCCGTCAAGAAAAACCTTCAACATCATCCGATGATACAGATGATTCAAGATCTGAAAGAAAAAGAAACGGATTAGTCAACTTTTTGTTACTTCCACGACGGATCTTTGATAAGTTTGGAAGAACATCAGAACGGATTACTAAAGGTGGTCGAAAGAATGGTAGCGCCAAGGTTTTAGGTCAAAGAGATGCTGAAGAGGCTACTTATCGAGCGGCTGAACTTCTCGAGAGAGCTACGTATGAGCATGGAAATCCTGATGCTGGTCTAGCGTTAGGTAATTTATGGCTCTGGGGTGGTACTCCTCCTGGTCTCATTAAGCGAAATGCTACAAAAGCTATGCAAGCCTATAAATGGGTTGCCGATCTTACTGGAAATGCTACTGCTCAGGCAAATCTGGCGTTTCTTTACGCAACAGGTTATGGTGGCGCGTTAGGAAATGAGCTGGTCAATACTGGTGATCAGAGTACTGCACTTTTGTATTACACTTTTGCTGCGCTGGGCGGTGATTATGCAGCAGAGATGTCTCTAGGGTATCGTCATTGGACTGGAATTGGCACTAAACAGAGCTGTAGTGATGCGTTACCCTTCTACAAGAGTGCGGCCACTAAAGGTGAGTCAAAATTGTCCTTGATGGGATCCTATTTATTTGAAAATCAACTCATCATTTGATCCTCAAACAGCTATGAAAACGTTCAATTCGGGCCCACCCGGTGGTCATCATATGCCACCTCTCAAGGTTCGGCTATCTGATCGCGACGGTGGGGTTTATGGACCTGGTGCTTCTGTGGCTTCGACTGGTACCAATCGACACCAACACTCACCTCAACATCCAGCCACAGTTCAAGAGTGGAATGACGTTTTGGAATTCTATCGTCAGTTATTCAGTCTTGACTACATCAGAGTTTTGCTTCTTAGCTCATGATTTGCTTTTTGAATTTTTTAGAGTTTCATGCTGAGAGAGGGGACGCTACGTTTATGTTTCGGCTTGGTCGAATTTATTATTACGGGTTTGGAACTGCTGGAGATGATATCAAAGATTTTGCAGTGACCAATGGTCGTAATTTTCGAAAAGCTCTAATGTGGTTCAATCGAATTGCAAGGACAGTATGGCCTAGGGATCCTGAAGCCGCTACTTCTCCTACCGGTCAATCATTCCAGAATTCACAAGGACATTGGCAAACACCTGTGATAGGAGCCTATGACGCATCAAAAGATGTGAAGTTGAAGGTTGATGAGCATCAAGCTATGGCTGCTGGATTGGCCGCTGGGTTCTTAGGACGACTTTACCTGAGAGGAGAAGGAGTTCCGCGTAACAATGCTAAAGCGTTCTTATGGTTTAGTCGTGGTGAAGTTCAAGTCAGTTATCTACGCATCTTCTTGATGTCTATCTCATCATTAACTTCTGTTATCATTTGCATTATTTCAGGGTGATAGAGAATCTCACAACGGGTTGGGGCTCATGTATCAGGACGGATTGGGCGTGCAGGAAGACATTGACAAGGCTGTGGATTACTTTCAGACAGCCGCAAATGCAGAGCTTGCCGATGCACATGTCAACCTTGGGAAATACTATATGGGTCAGTCTTTTTGTTTTCAGACGAAAAAATCACATGTGATCTCGACTTTTCCTTACACGGACGATGATTTCATTTTTATAGGAGTGGATGATTACGTCAGCGCCGTGTCTTTTTTCGACTCAGCCATCAAACATGGCGATAGTTTTCAATCATACTTTTACCTAGCTGAGATCAATTCGGAACAAATCGGACGTGCTGATTTATGTCCGATAGCTGTAGCATTTTATAAACGTGTGGCCGAGCGAGGAGATTGGTTTCAAGAAGTTTATTGGAAAGCTGAAAAGGCATGGGCAGATGGAGATGAAGCTACTGCTTTATTGGGTTATTGGATGACAGCTGAACGTGGATATGAAGTGGCTCAGAATAATATGGCATATATTTTGGATCGTCATAAACGTCGAATCCAATTACCTATTGAACAATACTCTAGTAATTCGACCGATCGTCTTGCTCTTACCTACTGGACTCGATCGGCTGCACAAGATAACATTGATGCGTTAGTCAAGATGGGTGATTATTATTTGTCAGGTTATGGTTCATTATCTGGGATCCCACAACCCGAGAAAGCGGCTGCATGTTATCAAACTGCGACAAATACTCATTTGAGTGCTATGTCAATGTGGAATTTAGGATGGATGCACGAGAATGGGATCGGAGTTTCACAAGATTATCATTTGGCGAAACGATTTTATGATTTAGCTCTCGAGACTAATACAGAGGCTTCTTTGCCAGTCACACTGTCATTAATCAAACTTTACGCTCGTTCATTGTGGGGTTATGTGGTACATGGCAATTCAAAACACCTTTCGCTCTTTACGTATTCGAATGAAGATGCGGCTAAATCTGGCTGGTGGTCTTTACGTAAGGTACGGGATGAGATTACAAGTAGATGGTTTGGGATCGCACCACCTGCAGGAGCTAATCAAGATGGAGGACCACCACGCACTGCGAATGGTGATATGCCAATGTCAGATGCTGAAGCTGCTGCATTCGATGTTACTGCTGCTCAGCGTGCATTGCAACAGGATGATGATCCTGTAGAATGGGCCAGGAATGCACGTGATCGAGAGAGACTGCAGACAGAAGAAGGGGATGATGATGATTTGTTTTTGGCTGGTGAGGGTGGTGACGATTTCATTGAAACGATTGGTATCCTTTTCCTGTGTCTTGGTGTTGGGTATGTGTTTTTACTGTTTTACTATATACAGTTCTGTTCATTGACGCTAATGGGAGTCTTGACTTGCTGATCTGACTGTTCTGGATTACAGCGCGTTTATCTTTCTACGGCAGCAACGAGAACAAGCGAACGCGAGGGCCGAAACTGAACGTCAAGCTACTGAAGTACCAGAAGCAGTTGTGAATGCAGCACCTACTCCCACCACTACGATTACTGACAACACAAACACATCAACAACATTTACTTCTGGGACTAACTTGGAAGCTTCTACAACACTCAATCCTGCCAGTCAAAATGATTCAAATAATTTGATTACTCGTAGACGCACAAACGAAGCTGGTTCGACATCTGATAATGATGAAACCAATACACGAAATGAGTAAGATTTTTTTTGGAAGTGGATGTAGTTTGTTGAGTAAGATGTAATTATAGCAATATAGCCCCTTGATCTACACTGTCGTAGAAGAAGAAAAAATATGGTGCAAAAAGCAAAGTTTATGCATTTTGATTTTAATTTTGAGTAGCTGTTTTGAAAGGTGTAGCGGGTCCCTCGACTTCAGAAACTTTCATCGTGGACGCTGGCAAAGACTGGATCCATTTGGCATACAAGTACAAGGCGATGAGTAACAGAAGTATGCAATGCAATATGTGTAATTTAAAGGAAATTTGCCTTACAATGCTTCATATGGTGCTCCTGACGTGAGGTGTTCGTGTGGTCTGGCGATTTTGTTGAAGGTCTTTTTGAGCCCCTGTAGAGTCTTCTGACTTGGAGTGATCAAAAATAATTGACCTTGTAGATATTTGTGACCTTTGCTCTGACTACTAGACTCAAGTGTACAAACATCTTGTGAGCTCATGTGACCTACAACCTTGCTATGCCTGTGGTATAAGTCCTCAAGATTGTTGAGTATAGTTTCTTGCTATGGAATACGTCATCAGTCAGCAGCTCAGCCACCTGCTGAGAGTCTGTTTGACTTTTGAAGGTGTCTAAGAGTGAAATGAGAAATCCTCACTGCTGATTATGTAAATCAATTCTCTTTGAAAGATGTTAACTATAGGGAAAGCCTTGAAGCTAATAAGTGATATCTTTCAATTCAAGATCATTGGCATCAAATATACTCCAACTTATAAAGAAGGCGATGCAAGTGGACTGGGAGGCATTGAATATATATGAATTGATTTCTCTGGAGGTTATCACTGATCAACTTTCTGTATCTGATTTTAATTTCTAGGAGGGAGCAGGGCTGCATATTATGTTTGTTGAATGTCAGCCTTTGACTCCAAGAGCAGCATTGGGTTAACTTTGAGCCCAAGATTGCACCCATGTCAAGTTCAATTGTTCTGCATGTCACAAATCTTCCAAATGTGTCAAGTAAAGAAGCTTATGGGCCTTATGTAGCTAGGGTGAGTTATGTATGTATGTCTATGTATAGGTTGAGGGTATGCTTATAATTGAGAATCTTAACATTTTGGTTGGTTGGAGTCTTGGTGTCATTGAGTGTTTCTCTTCAGCTCATCTTGACTTCTTGATCAACATGTCTTCGTCATCCTCATTGACTCAACTTATTCGACGTGGCACTTCAACAAGATCAAGTTAGTCTCTCTTTCAACTCTAGATCTCATCTTGATCGGCTTTAGCTTACCATCAACTTGACCCTTTTTGAAGCCCCCATTCAAGCAATCTCAAATCAAAGGACAACTCCTATCATCATCAATAATCCTATTCAAATCCAATCATCATACTTTTCTACATCAATCATCAATCTAGTTAAAACTAAATCACAAAAAAAAGAAATCAAACGACAAAAAACTAAAGCATATGAATCTTTAAAAGAACAAAAACAAATCAATTTGCAAAAAGAAAAACCTGATCCGATCTTAGGTTATTCAACTTCCAAACCAAAAGATTATCTTACATGGGAAAATTGTGAATTAAATCAATTAATTTTAAAAAATGAAGATGTTTGGTCAGGTAAATTAGGTGAAGGTGAACAAGTCGATCAAATCCCAAATCTATTAAACTTTGGTTTAACAGATGATCATAAAGAACTTTTATTCAAAGCTTTACCTTTAGTTAGTAGTCAAAAATCAATCTTAGATGTTACTAATTTCGAATCTGTTCAACAACAACGTCAAGACAAAAGTATTTCAGAAGAATCTTTGAAACAGAAAGCTTTGACTAGGATCCTAGATTTAAGGAATGCTGATTCTAAAGCGATTGATAAAGTTAACAAATCACGTATCATTAAAGCTTTCTCTCCAAAACCAACTCTTGATGAAGAACAGAAGCTAGACCCAGGTTGTGCAGAAGTTCAAGGTATGAATCTTGATCTTTTCATGAATCTAGCCTGCTCTGTCCAAGTGGCTCACAAATGATGATCTTTTCTCTCATCGTTAGCTGCTATCGCCACTTATCGGATCCATGCTGTACTAAAGCACGCCTGGTCCAATACTCGTGACGTTCATTCTCGCCGCCATTTAACTCAACTTGTTATGCATCGAATGAAAACACTCAAGAATTTAAGAAACAATGCACCAAATCGATATCGTGAACTTTTACCTAGGATCGGACTGCAACCTCGTTATTTAACTGAAGAACTGATCATTCGATCAAAGTTACCACTCAAACCAGGTGAACTAGCTCACTAATTCATCATCATCAAGAAAGAAAACAAAAAACAAAACTTTTGATAAAAGCTAGATGAACCGTTTAAAAATATTTCTTGTCTTGGATTATATACATCAATTTACATCATCAACAAAAAAAGCTCAATTCAGATATAATGCCTGGTGCCCTTTCAGTCTCCTGATGCGCATCCACGACAGCCTGTTGAGATAGGTTTTACAATTAGCTTGACGGATTGATGATCGGATTTGACTATGGTCAATTGTAGTGAGAACCGAGCCTGTGAACTGACCACAATGTATACATTCTACCACGGTACCTGGCTTCAGTTGTGCCTTGGGTACTCGACAAATACAAACTGATCCAGCATAGTTCATATCCTATAAAGACATGTAAATATGATATCAGCTATGGTGATCTGATTGCCTATGAAGCCAAAGAATCCACGAACCCTTGATTGAACACATCGAGCGCAACAAAGACCTTCAAATCCACTTCTTTTCCATTTAGCTATCAAACTAAAAAGAAATGAAAAAAAAACTTGGTAAGATGAGTCTGATCTTCATTGGATTGGTTCCAAGATGTTTGAAATTGAAACTTTCTCCCTTTCTCCCTTTCTCTTTCTCTGATGATGATGAAAAATTCACTTACTTTGCATCAGCATAACTTTCTTCTAATAACCATTCATATAATTCAGTTGAAATAGCTTCTCTTTTATAATATAAATCATAAATATAACGACTTCTAATATGATTGATTCTCATAATTGGCCAAATTGATTCATTTTTTCTTTTTCCTTCATGATCTGCACTTTCAGCTACCAAAAAAGAATCAAGATTCAAAAAAAGTTGAAAAGATCAATAAGAATTAATCATAAATCAAAAAAGATAAAATCGATATGAATTCATCAAAACAAACAAGTCATCATCATTATCATCATGACTTACCATCTCTCATCTTACGAGCATATTCATCTAAGATTGGTTCGATTTCTTCAAATCCTTCGGGTGGTGGTTTAGATCGATTTGTACGAATCTTTGGCATTCTTTTTCCTTTTCTTTTTTGGGGGGGCGTGTGGGTTCTGATCGGTTTGAATGTGAGACTCGAGAGATATCTTGCTTTCGAGTATAGTATCCGATTGACACTGCGAATATAATGTATTTTTCCGAGGTGAAAAATGATTACATTTATTTCACAAAGGGATTCAGAGCACTCAATCTGGCCTTAAGAGGGTAAAAAGTCAGGCCGGGTCACGGGGTGAAATCTGGCCAAAGTTCTCAAGTTGGTCTATATGATGAGAACACTACCAATCCCATTGCTAGCATTGAAGTCCAGTATCAAAGCTCAGGATCGGGTAATACTCCGTTGCTCTCAGTACCGATCGGGATTCAGAGCACTCAATCTGGCCTTAAGAGGGTAAAAAGTCAGGCCGGGTCACGGGGTGAAATCTGGCCAAAGTTCTCAAGTTGGTCTATATGATGAGAACACTACCAATCCCATTGCTAGCATTGAAGTCCAGTATCAAAGCTCTCCAGACTCCTGACTCCTTAGATGGTAGAAGCACAAGTAAAAAATGGCCTGTTTAATCCAAAGAAGATCACCAGCTCACTTGCAAATTCAATCCCTTGGATCATCTATGTACATACTCTGACTTCAATCCCCTTGAGACCTTCAATACAGTCTAACCCGCGCTGTTGTATACCCGCGCATATGCATATCCAGCCAAAATGCATAGGTTTTGGTCTCCACCACGCTGGTGCGGGCCAAAACAAGATTTTAATTGCATATTGCATGATGCATAGGGTCAAAGCAAAAAAAATTATATCTTGGAAGCGGTATTGCATAGGTCAAACCCAGTGATGTGGTGGTGATACTGACAAAAAGCAACAGCAGTTGTGCTTTGGAATGATCAGCAAAGTGATATCACCCACCTCACACGATCTTTGGCTCCCTTAGATCAATTTGCATCTTTTTTCATCATGTCTGCTACTGAAAACAAGGAATTAGCTCACATAGAGGGCACTGGTACAGCTTCTGGTCTCAAATTGGACAACTCTTTGCAGAAGTATGCCGAGATGCTTGAGTCCGAGCTGTTTTTTGGTAACAAAAAACAAGTGGCAATAACTGATTTCTTCCAACGTGTGACTATATCTAACACTTGATTATTGATAGCCTTCAAAAATACTTCAATTTCTTTCTTTTTGTACATGTCGTACCAAATAAGCACAAGTCCTCAAAAGTTATTGTTTGTTGACTGTTTTTTGTAACACATTGTACTTGATAAAGCATGTTCTTGAAAACAATTGTTTTTGTTTCTTTCTGTACATATCGTACTAAATAGACAACAAATGTCCTCAAAATTAAACACTTTCTTACTGAAGTTTTCCCACCTTCACCCTCTCTTGTCCCATATGGGTGGGGTAATACAATAACCGTACTAATGCATAATTCTATGCAATACACCCCAAAATCTAAATGCATATTTTTATGCATTTTGGGGGTGTAGGTCAAAAAGCATAACCCGTCTAATTGCATAGGAAAGTGAGTCTCCCCAAATTATGCATTAGCGCGGGTTAGACTGTACCAGACCAGGCTATGAAACAAATATCCTATTCCTACTGTTGACTAGATGTACTTTAAAAGAACAAATCTTATGGTCATCACAAACACATCTCCATCTCCATTATCTTTTTATAAACTTGAGGTTGAGATAATCATTTCAAATCAACAAACAACCTCAACCCTTTTCACTCTCTTTCTAAACCCACAACAATACCCGAACCGCTCCGCTCCAAATATTGGTTTCGGAGCGGTTTCGGAGCGGTTTTTGGGTCCGCTACAACCCTCGCATTACATAGCGGATGCTACGCACCGAAACCCCAGACCCGGTGTGGTGATCAGAACCCACCTCACCCTTTTCTATTTATACACAAAAAGAGTCTCATTTGATTCATGCTCAAGATCACTCGCTAGGAATCTTCTCAAGCTTTTAGGCAAGGCATAACTTTCAATCAGAACCTAAAACATAATCAATTTCACGTTATTCATCTTAAGTTAATATGGAAACCAAGTAACAACATCTTAAACAACAATTTAAGTATATGATATTCTAAAAGTAAGAATATCATAGTTACATGGGTTGAACTGAATTAAAATTAGATAAAAGATATGAGAGGGAATTATGAGTTGGATCGATTGAGTTGAAGAATAGTAAGAGGAGAGAATGGAACTAAGGAGATGAATATAGTCGAGATTGAGGAGATGTAAGAGGTAGTAGCATTAAGAAGAAAGTAGTCAGTAAGTGAAATCGAATAGAAAAGAGCGGGAGAGTGAGGATAAGAAGACTACATACCTATAAAAGAACCTAGTTAGAAATCAAGATCAGACCTTAAGATCGAAATCGAAGTACATAGGTTGAAATCGGTATTGATGAAAGGATTGATTTTGAGAAGTGTAGTTGAAAACAGAGCCGAGAGTTGAAAGTAAAAAAAAAGGAGGAGCTATAGGATGAGAAAGAAAGATTCAGTGGGGTAGTTAAGAGTGGAGGCAAATAGATTTGATAAAGGAAAGGAACTTACATGTACACCAGGGGGTAATGGTCCTCGGCCTCGGCCGGTTCCTGTGACGATTTCAAAGGTTTCGTCACCTGAACCGCCCAGGAAGGTGTGGAACCGGTTTCGCCGAAACCGATTCGCACACCGTTCCACCACCGCTTCTGGAACGAGTTGCATGTCAGCAACCGTTTGAGAACGGCTGCTGAGGCGGTGGTGGAGCGGTTTGTTCGACACCGATTGCAATCGGTGTCGAACTGTCAATATATGAACAGTGACCGTATGAAAATGGTCACAAGGGATGAAAGTTATCTTTTAAAAAACAACTCACACTGATTGATTGTGCCACAGATAAGGTCACAATCGATCTGATTCACCATTTGTTGAACAAATCACTGCCAGCAAAAAGGCATTGTCCTTCACAAGCAGCACGTGCAAAAACATGTACATACTCAGATTTTCAATCGATCGATTTCATGTTTCAGACCTGCAGGGTGAAGTCACAACCCATATATTATTTATACGCGTCATTTATTTGAAGCTGATGCTGCTTTGGCTCTATATTGATTTCTTCGAAACATAACAGGACCTGGTAACTTTTCGGATCCAGATTCGAAAACAGTAGGATACAGAGCGGTGGTCATCAACTTACCGAGGTTCTGTAGATCTGGTGAGGCTGATTTAATTGTCTTTGTTTGGTTGAGATAAACTTAACATCCTGCTGATCCATTAAATGAACTTGTACGCAAATCATCATCAGGAGGCCTTTTTGATACCTCGAAAAGTAGCCAGGTCCAATTTGAGGTTTGGTTACCTGTGGAGGACTGGAGTGGTAGATTTGCATTTGTTGGGAATGGTGGAGCTCAGCAACTTGATCATTTACATAATGAAGGTATTGAGGAACAAATCGGTTAATGATTTGGAAGCAAACCTATATGACAAAGGGTAGTATCACATTGTGGTCTGCATGGTGTAGCGGTGAAAGCCTCTGTGGCCATGGCCAAGACCTTTGCTTGTTTTTGAGCCTGTGTTCTAGCCCCACTGCTTGATTGTCTTTTTGGCCAATTCCACGCCGTACCCTCAGAACGTTCCAGGAACGGCTTTGGGAACCGGAGGGAGCGGTGCTGACGGATCTTCCAAAGTCGTTCCTGGAACGCTGCAGGCCTCGTTCCAGGGACTGTGTTTAGCGGTCACCAAGGCAGTTTGCTTGCACCGCCAAAAACGGTGATGGAAACCGTGTTCGTGCGGTCCCATCTGAGATCGTCTCAGAAACGACACAGATAGTTTAAAACCGTGACAGCAGGAAAACGGTTTTGAAAACCGTTTTCTTGCCGTAGGTTTACCCCCCTGGTGTACCAGCAATAAGAGACTGATGTGGGAGTTGAAGGTTGCAGTTGAAAACCGGGACTAGATATTAAGGTCCAGGCGCAGATTCCCAGTTTTTTTCGCTGGTATCCAACTTTAGAGTGGTTTTAACCTTTGCGATCAGCAGTCACTTCTAGAGTTCGAGTGACAGAGTCGAGAGAGCTAGAGAGTGTCACTCGCTGCCCCATGTAACCCCATGGCCTTTGGGATGTACCATTCGTTGACACTTCGGCCTGACGTGGTTGGTCGTTGGACATATCAACCCTTGGGCAGGTGATATGCTCTCTCACTCATCCTTTTATATATATACCTCCGATCAACCTCTCCAGCCGGCTTCCATTATTCCACTATCACCTTCACTACCTCGCCCTCATGCAGCCCGATTCGTTACTCATTCAATCCAACGGGCTACCTACTCGCTCTCTGGCTTTGGCTAATTTGACGCTAATGATCATCTGGTGGCATATCTACCAGATGGAAGAACTGCGCGAGTGGCTACAGTACTTGACCTACATCGAACACCTTGGTGGTGATCCTCTACCCAACCTGTCGGCCCGTTGTGTCAATGTGGAGACGTGGCACCCTCGCATCAGCCAACTCACCACACGTTTCTATCCAGATGAGATCTTGGCAATCCACCACTGGGGTGGATTTCCAGAAAGCATTGTACTGGAGAATCAAGCTCGGGAAGACGGTCGTACTGCCCTAGCCATATATTTGGCTCGTTTGGCGACACCATCTCGTTACTTCGACCTATCTCAAACTTTCGGCCGCGAGACTTCCATCATCGGTCGGATCTGTCGGTGGGTGCAAGTGTGGATATACGAAAACTGGGGTAGTTTGTTAAAATGGTCAGCTCGTCGATATCCGCCGGATGTGTTGGAAGGTATGGCCGCAAGTTGGGTCGAGGAGAAGGATTGTCCAATGGACAACTGTATTGGGTTCCTCAACGGTAAGCACTTTCACTACCTTTCAAGGAAGTTTTCACTGCCAACTCGACTCACAGTCTGACGGCGTGACAGGTACGGTGTGGCGCATTGCCCGACCAAAGTATAACCAACGCTATTTCTACAATGGTCATAAACGAGTCCACAGCCTGAAATTCCAGGCTGTGGTCACACCAGAGTACGTCAGCTCCGGTTACTTACGTACGGTCATGCCTGTGGCTGACTATTTTGGGCGTTTATCTGCTGTCTAGTGGCATCACTGCGGATCTGACCGAGGCGTACATAGGCTCTCGGCACGACACAGCCATCTTGAGGTTATCGGGGCTCACCAAAGTATTGGAAGAAGATGCCAAAGGATTTGAAGACCGCCAAATGATGCTATACGGAGACCAAGGTTATCGCAACTTGGCTGTCATGCTGACCCCGTACCCAGGCCTCAACCTTGGTCCTGACCAAGCAAGGTTCAATCAGGTGATGGCGAGTGTTTGCATCGCGGTGGAACACAAATTTGGACGGGCGCGAAACATATTCTGCATGACCCAGTATAAGGGCAAGTTCATTTCGAAAACTGGTCCTCTATGTGCAAATGGATGTTTGGTGATTTCCGTTTCCCCAATCCGCAGACAACTTGAGGTTCTACGTGAATGAACTTAACATCTTCTACCATGGGGCAGTGATCATCAAGAACTTGTTGATCTGCTGCGGTCGTGGCCCGCTGGGCGGCGTTGCAGCGCCTCCAACCCTGGAGGCATACTTAGGGGGTCGCTGAACATGGGGTCTTCATCGTCCGTCCGAAGAGCCCCTCATACCGTGTTTCTGTATACCTGCTTGTTTTCTTAATCTCGATTGTACCTACCTAGGGCTAGCTTGTGTGAACTTGTGAAACTGGGTGATTTGTGTGCGAAATGACAATATTCGTGTCTTCTGAACAAAACTTGACTGGCCTTTTGATCTTCTTCGCGTGAGGGTAAAGATAATCGAGCGTGGAACACGCTCCACATGCGAGTGCCTAATGACAGTGCCTAATGAGAGGGTCAAATGTCTTACCTGAAGGCTTACGATGGGGTGCGTGGTCATGAAGGTGAGGAGATAGTCTGACTTCCTATCTCTCATTGGATCTTAGGAGATCAAAGGGGCACGTTGACAAGCAGAATGGAGGGGGCAACAAGGTAGATATAGCCAGATCTACCAAAGAAGATTTTCATTGGGTACTTTGAATTGCAGGCTCAATTGTTCTAAGTTATTTTAATGTTTGGAAGTAGGAGATCAAAAACAGCAGGGTTCAAGCCAAGAGCATAACAGGAAAAGAGACATAGATAAAACGGAGGCAACATTCATCAAAGAAAGTGATGAAGTACGTTAGGTAGATAACTGTTGGTGAAGGTATAGGTCGTCAGACACATACTTTTGAATGAAGTAAAAAGGGTAATACTAACTTTTTCGGAAAGGTCAAGCGTTATTTTGGGCCGGGGTAAGTCTCTCACCAAGCAATTGTTTGAGCATGGCACCCATGCCGGAAAGGGTCCCTTGCACTTTGGCCAAAGAGGTCTTTGGTCACTGATTGATCCTTCTGATCATGACGAGTTCCAGCCGCCTGAAGCTCTTCACGTCGTAGTTGAATTGTGTCGCGGGCGGTTTGAGCGTCCAGCTCCAATCTCGCCACAGATTGAGCCAATTCCCGCTCACGTTGGGCGTTCATCACGGCCACCTGCTCCTGGTGGCGCTCAAGAGCCACCGCGGTGAGCTTGTTTGCGTGTTCAGCAGCCTCACGGCTCTTCATGGTCACATTGACCATGTGAGACGAGTTGCTATCGCTTTGGAGCTTTTTGTGGATACCGTCACGCAAAGCTCGAAAGGTACAAGGGGGTGCTTGAGCCTTGTCATCCGAACCCCCCTCAGGCTCATCATCGTTGACGGGCCCAGCGCGAGGAGGTGCCGAACGTGGTCTGGCAGCTCGAACATCACGCAGGTCATTAGCTCTTGCGAGGGCGCTGGCCGCAGCGTCTTTGACAGCTTTGGCATCTCCAGCCCGCCTGGTCATATCCTGCAAGGCCACCAAACAAAGTGTTTGAATGAGTTTTGGGTACGAAAAGGATAGTAGTTTCGAATGTACTTACTTTTTCATCCTTCTCCAAAGAGGCAATTAATTCACGCAACTCGCTGTCGACCTCCTGGGTTCCGCTGGCCCGGGCTGACATCGCTTCGGCGTGTTTGAGCCAAGATTTCAGCGTGTCGAAGCGGGATTTGAGAGCCTAGGTATACTTCGTGGTAGACAAATTTGTGAATTGGTCCATCGTATTGGCATGAGTCTGGATATGCCAAATATCCCGTTTAGTTAGGGCAAATACATACAAGTGAGGAAGTGGAATCAAACTTGCCTTAAGGTGGTGCAAACAGGCACGGAATCTCTCCTGAGCCTCTTTCTTGCCCGCCGAGAACGGGTCAAACGAGACAAGGTGTGACAGCCAGAGCGTATCGAGATCGCCTGGCTCGCCCCATCGCATGCGATTGGAGGATCCTCTGCCATCCGACTTCTTTGAGGTTGGCGAGGAGGCTTCCCCGAGACCGCCAGGTTCAGGAAGGTCACGGGAGGTTTTAGAAGTCGTGATGGGAGTGGGCAGGCGCGTGTGATCGGTTCGATTGGTTGACCGGGTCATGGTAGGGCTAGGTAACCGACGCTCCGGTTGTGAGGGGGCGTGAGGAGTGGTCGCAGAGGTCGCAGTCATTGGAGCACCGTTTCGTGTGGTTATAGAAGCTCCAGGGTATGTGAGGCGGGGAAAGGGGTGTCGTGAGGGTGCGGGGGTGATGATGACGGGGTTGGTTGCCCTTTGAGGAAAGGAAACAGAGCGACATACACCGGCGGGGGTTGCTGGATTTACCGAGCCCAGTAGAGGCATTTCTGGTGTTCCACGGGCACGGCTGATTCAGGCGGCTTTTCCTTTGGCTGGTGCCTTGGGAAGCGAGGTGTTGGAGGCCAGGCGGGTCTTTGGCAAAGGGCCAGTAGATGAGGTGTCACCATCGTCCTCCAACTCGTCGACCTCTTCATCACCTTTGTCCTGATCAGTATTGAGGCGGCGACGAGCGACGGATAAATCAGCCAAGTCCCCTCGATGCTTAACCGGCGAACTCTTGCAAATGAGCTCTCGGACACCGGGAGGCCTTTCAGTGGCCGACGTAGAAGCTGTCACAGAAGAAGGCGTAGGCGTTGATGGCGACTTATTTGTCGGTTGCGCCGCAGACCCCCGGAGAGTTTGGTGATGGGTGACCAAACGTTCCACTGTGACAAACATATAGTCAGTCAGGGGGATGGCCAGCAAAAGAACGCGGTTGTTACTCACCTGAGTGGCCAGGGGTTAGTTCCTCCTTGTCGGAATCTTGCAACAGATGCTGAAGGCAATTGTCCTCAGCACCCGAAGACAAGGACAGCTTGTCTTCTCGGAGGACATGGAGGTTGAACTCTGCTGAAGCCAGAGCCTCACGTACAGGATTGGTGCCATCCCTGCACCATGGCAGGGGGTCGGAGACATGGTCGAGGCCGTTGAGGTTAAGGGCGGCAGTGCAAACACCGTTAAACAAAACGGCTATCCGGTCGTTAGAGATCACTCGCGGGTATCTCCAGTCAATCATACTGTCGTAGTCGTCCTTTGACTTCCAGGGGGGGTGGGAGATGTCGTGGGTGTACGTCCTCCGGCCATCAATCCTGAGGGCAAGGTCAGACGTGATCAGTAGGTCCCCTCGTCACATCATACTCTTGGAGAGAGGGCCAAAATACTTACAACTCGCCATTAGGTACCCATACCGCGCTGCTCGGGAACGGAGCACCAGACCCCATCTGCAAGACCGTGTGATCATCCGGTGGCGCACCCTGAGCCATCTTTGGCACCTCGAGGGGAACAATCACACCAGACCCAATCAAACGCAAGTATCTAAACATAAACACACTTACCAAGACCTGTTGCTGGCTTGGTGGTTGATAACGGCCCGGGCCGTTTTCGCCAACACCACTTTGCTGAGACCCTCATAGATTGGGTTGACCCAGGACCTATTGGCATTACCAGTGCACAGACTTGTTAGCAGGTGGTGACATCAGAGTGACCTATGGACCGACTAACAGGGGTCAAGGGGCGCAGACCAAGCCCCTGGTTTTCGAACTGCAGCGAACCCAAGGTGACGGTCTCGGGCAGGCGACCTGGTTCCAATGGGCGCTGGGGTTGAGCGGGTAACGGCGCCCAGGTGGGAGGAGACCTTCGAGTCGGCATGGAGGCGGCATCAGGGCACTGTGGGGGCACATAGTTAACTAGGTGTCGTAGGATGTTAAGTACATAAGTTTTCCTCACCTGAGTAGGCAATCCACTCGAAAGGTTCAGGCCGGATGTCGGGGACCAGTTGGGTTGTGACATGCTGGTAAATCTGAATTAGGCATGTTTTTTTAGCATACGTCAGGTCAGACCTATCCATAGCCAGAAATGACACCATGACACACTTACCGGATTGAATTTATAGGGAGTATAAAAATTGTATATCTACACACACATGGCGTTAAGTTAGCAGGCGACAATCGTGGTTAACATAAGAGGACACCAACAGAGAAACCATACACACCAGGATGTAGCTTTATCATGCGATGGCGGCAAGGACCGGGGAGGAAACATATGCCTGCATATATACCAAAAATACCTGTTACAGGCCCTTTCACAAATATCAAAAGGTCAACCAAGGTTCTGTTGGGATAGTTGTGTGTAAATGTCTAAGTCCTGTCTGCTACTTAGTCCTGTGTGACTTTCCTTTGACCTGTCAAGTCCTGCGTGACTATCACCTGATCATATTTCAATTCATTATTACATCATATTACATAATTCCATTTCATAATAGTCTGCTTAGCAACTTGTCTGTTGTGTGACATCTATACGTGTTATTTCACTATATAGGCTAACTGGAACAGCTCAGGAAAGGTGCTCTTTTCTTCACCTTTCCTTGCTCTTTATTCCGCTGTTCCAGGTAGGCCTAAGACTCTTATTTTCTCTCTTTATCTTTATATATGTGCAATAACAAAGTCTTACCTTTCCTTGCTCTTTATTCCGCTGTTCCAGCGTGATCAAAAACCTAAGAGGTTCCTCCCAACCCATAACTTTGAGACGGTTTTTCAAGTCACAAAGCTGAACCTAAGCCTCCCAGAAGGAGAGACGTGCAATATAGACCACTATCAAATGGGTCTATGGGGCAAATTGCGTGTGAGACCACCTTGCATAGCAAGAAAAATTGAAGTTTAGAAATACGACCTTCGAATTTTTACAAAACGTTTTTATCAAGCTGACAAGCATGCAAGATCATCAAAAGATGTGCAGCACATTTTGTTTCCAGAGGTGATGAAAGCGATGGGCCGCACCCAAACCATCTGAGGCTCGACAACAAGAAACCCATTCGCTAGTGGTTCGAACTGCGCAACGCGTTACAAAGTGGTAATTAAGTGCCATCACAGACGTAAATTGCGGAAAATCGCGAAAAACGAGCCCCATATCGAGATTTTGAAATAACAAAAAACTGGGAAATTGCGCCTGATGTCTATTGAAGACTTGAAATAGGAACTTAATTTCAGAGTGGTGGCAGTTAAGATTGAGATAAGAGGGCCGAGAAGCGAACAGGTAGGAGAATAACTATAAGATGAATGAATTAAAGCAAAAGAAGTATAAAGTAATATTAGAAGATGAGCGAGTAAAAAGAAAAAACAAATAAGAAAGAAGTAAAGGGCACTTACAGAATTGATAAAACAGTAAAACAATTTTGGGAATGATCGGCCGGAGGAAATGCTTTGGGGTTGAGGATTGAGTACGCGTCATGAGTTGAAATTGAGCAATCAAAAGGTATAAAGGGAGCGTTGTTCAAAGGGAAAGAGGGGGGGAGCATCCAAATTTGGATCCAAATTTGGATCCGATTTTGTGTATCCGAATAGTTGTGTGTGTACAAATCAAGTTGATTCATTAAAGTGTACTGTTTCGATTTAGAGAATCAACCTAAGTGTGTGCTTGTGGTATCGTATCTGTGTTAATTGAAAGTCCTATAAAACAAATTGTTAGAGTGTTGTTAGCGTGAAGAATAATCATTATCTTTTTTTATTATTTAAAGTTGAATTGGGATATTGTGTGGAAAAGAAGAAAGTAAAAGACTTACTTTTATTGTGTTTTGAAATAGTCAAAAGAAGCGTTATTGTTGTAGTTTGGTAGTGTTTTCTTTTGAAGATTGGTGGATGCTGAGTTTGGTCGCATTCTAGTCGACAGACCGTAAAGCAGTCAAAGCTTTAAAATCAATCAGTAACCCGCCTCTTGATCCAAGTCGAGTCCGGGTCGAGTCGGGGTCAGAGTTTCATCACAGACCTGTACCAGTGTGTTACAACCTCGTGAAAATCAACACTCAAGCTCGAAGTTACATATCTCTGTACTGCGAACTTGTGTAGAGTCGTGTGTAATAGTGTTAGACTCCGCTCAGTGCTGCGCATCCAACCGTGTGGTGTAAATTAGGTTTTTGGGAAACCTTAAAAAGACAAGAAGTGAAAAGTAGAGAAGCCTCATTTTGAATTTCGAAATCATTTTCGAAGGACGAGGGCAGCTTCACAGCACCTGAGTTTTATCATCTCTCACGAGTGGTAATTTGTCCCCTCTCCGGCTCAGCCTACGCTACACTGCGTAGGAGTTCTACACCGGGTTTTCCATAGCGGAGCCACCGAAACGCAATGGGCCGGGGTCTTGGGTACTCCAATATATATTGGAGTGATACAGTCAAGGGTGGAGGGGTATCACTCACCCCACCCCTTGTGCTGATCTCACCAGATCAAAACAGAACGCCTCACACCATCTTAGCTCGATTCAACCAATGGAACCCCCCTGGATGAGGCTTCAATGGCTCACCTGTGGTCCATCCGACTGCCGAAAGCTGGTATATATGTTGATTTGGTAAGTCCCATTTGACCAATCAAATCTCTGATCAACACCCAAACCCCCGCGCTGCAAACTGAGGCAGCGCGGGGGCAGCGCGGGGGTCCCGCCGCGGACTCGGTCCAGTGAAGTATCACTGGGGCAAAAACTACGGCGGGCCCCGGGGTTCCCTGCGGTACGACCCGCCGCTGTCCAATTGTAGGTACCCCAGGGGGAACCCAGGGGCCCAGTTGGCTGATACTATAAGTATCCTCATCTGACACATCCGATGGCTACTATAGTCACGTTTTACCTCGTTCAACTTCGATCAACCCCATCCGGATTGGGATTTTCCAAGATGGGCAACTTCCCGGTGACTGTAAGTAGTTTCATCAACTCTTTCAGAAGACCATGGCTTGATTTGTTGACAGCCATTCCTGCAGGGGACCTCCATCCATCCGAGTCAATTTACTCTGATACTCGAGGAGTATCATCAAAGCAAAGAGTTGGAATCTGATCAGACGAATCGGCCTCAGGCACTACTAGTTGCCATCGAATTCGACCTTTTCCCATCTTCAGTTTCTTATCTTAATCCAAGTTCTTTCTCAAATTTTTTCTTGCCTTCAGATCGAATCTTTATTTCTCATATTCCTATCTTGCCTATCCCTATCTCGCGATATCATTTCAAGAATTCTTCATATTTCCTTTCCTTGAATACCCTCTCAAATATCATCTTCACTATGAATCCGTCCAACTTATCTGTCCCCCAATCATCATCGAATTCTCTTGGAGTCCCACCTTCCACACCTGTTCGCGAAGTACGAACTTTACGAACCCGGTCCCCTCAACAACCTTCACCTGGATTCGTGCTGACTGGGTCGGATTCACGACGTAGGGTCACCAGAGAAGATACCAACACATCTCGCCCGACCTCCCCTACTAGTACCAACGAGTTACCTACTGCAAGTCGCCCTGGAGCAGCTCGAAAGCGAGTGCATGATGATGATGGAGATAACGAACCGGAACCGAGTATCAGGAAGAAAAAGAAAAAAACCCCAAAAGTAAGTACACGGTTATTTTACTACTTAAGTCAGATGTTATTGTATAAAGATCTCATTTTGAACTTTGCTTTGCTTTGCTTTGCTGATCTTGTAGGCTACCAAAGACAGGTCAGTTCCTAACGTGGTCGATGTTGACCAGGACTCGTCTTCCAATGAGGTGGTTGAAAGTCGTCCGGGGACAACAAAGGATGTCAAGGAACTTCTTAAGTATTATGGAATCCCACAGCACTACAAGAACGAGGTGTGTTAATTATTTAATCTTAGTTCAAATAATCAATTGCTTAGTTGACTAATATTGTTTTATGCTGTCACTCTATAGACCGGCCCATTCAAGCGATACTACCCCTGTCTTTGGTGCGGCGAATGGTACACTCGTGGCATCAAATCGAACGACAATCTCTATGCTCATCGTGACGGCGATAAGGAGCGTCGACCTTGTGAAGGGCGTAAGAAGGCAATCAAATCGGGCATGAAACTTCCACCCACTTATCAACAAACACAGAAGGCTTCCAATATGAAGACACCCGGTGGCCAGTTTATGAACGCATTCCTCGATCGACCCACCTTCACTGTGCAGATGCTCAACATCCTGCTGGTCCTCTGGATCATCAGACAAGCGCTTCCTTGGATGAGGTTTTCTGACCCGATACTTCGAAGTGCGTTTAAATTGGCCAACCCTTCGGCCGACATGCGATCCCCCACTTGGGCAGCACAAACTGCTAAAAAGGTCTATAAGAGTCTTCATTCCGAAGTTTTGCGAAAACTCAAGGTATGTAGTTTGATGTTGCTATCTCAGATGTGTACAAACTATTGATTGCATCTAATCAATCAACCAGGCTAACACCAGCCGTATCTGGTTGGTCCACGACGTGTGGACAACCCGAGGAAATCGATTCGCCTTTATAGCATTAATAGCGTGTTATGTCGACGCTGAATTCCGCTATTGTCGGGTTTTGCTTACCCTGAAAATGGTTGCTTGGAATCATTATGGGACACTGTTGGCTCGGCCGGTGGCTAGGTATCTAATGCGTCATGAATTGCACGAAAAGATAAGTATTCTTTCCTTATCTTTGCAAAGGTTTCCAAAGCTGACTGTGGGTGTGTAATCCTTACGTTTTAGGCCAAACCACGGACTCTGGTTTGAACAACAACACCATGGCCATGGAGATGGAGGTGCTGTTTGCAGCGAATTCGATTTCCAAACCTGTGAATTGGGATAGTCACCAAAATCACGCTCAATGCTATTGCCACAAGTTGGCTCTAGTTGTGAGAGCCGGGTTGAAGGCGTTATCCATCGAATCGGGTCATTCAAAGCCAACCACTGACGGCAATGTAGCTCTTCCAATACCAACATTCCAGCTGAACGATCAAGATGTGAACGTAGCTGCTGATTCAGCTGACTCCGACGAAGAAGAGCCGCTGGACGAAGCGGATCAAAGTCCAGAACTCCCCGATGACGACTTCTGCTCAACAGTCACGAAGGTCTTAGCAAACCATCCTGGTAATATATTTGCGACCGCCGTTCAAAAGGTTATATCAATCACTTTATCTCAGCCTAGAGGTGAAGTAACTGACATATATGGTTATGTAGGTCAACACTGTCAGCAAGAAAATAGCGGGGTCTCATGCTCGTCGTCAAGAATTCAGGGGCC